GACACAAAACCAATTCTTATAATGCGATGTATTGACTCCACGCACGATCCCTTCACAAAGTTATCTAAACAAAAGCCCCCACTTCTCACAGCACCACCCGCTCAAATAAAAGAATTAGCTGTGATTGGTCTATATTAATTGCCGAACAATCGGTGGTAAAGTCGGTATTGTTAGTCGGGTGTCGTGAGGTTTAGCCGGTCATCTCATTCTCACTTGATCTGATGCGTTGTTGTCAATATGCTCGGCTTTGTGCTCATCCCCGCCAACCATCCGTAGGTCAGTGATTTTCATGTCTATCATATGAGCTTATATCAACTGTAGTAAGTAAAGGTTCAATACCGGTCAAAAGTAGCGACTCCCCCCCCCCCCCGGCCCCTCCGGTAATATAACACTTGTATTTTGTACCCTCCCTCGGTATATTTTGCTGACGTTAATATCATATGTTAGAAAATATCGGGTCATGTAAGAAAACTAATATTTTTCTTTAAATTCCATATTTTTGAGTTTTTATCCTCTCGTCCACAAATTGATACATCTATACATGTGTGTCAATATTGAATTACCACACTAGAGGTGTTTATTTGCCACTCATGTTCGTCCCACTTGGTGTCACAAATGCCCATTTCGCGTTCACAATACATGTACGATCGTATGTAGCCCAAAGAAAATGTTGCACCCTGTAAATTGTAAAATGGTGTTAAATTTACTGTCTATTACTTGTTAGTGTGAACAACCTGTCTCACTATTATTATAGATTGAACTGTGAGGTGTATTTCGTGTTTATATCACTATCCTAGGATGCGTTTTTAAGCAGGTGTGTAGATGGAAAGGTTTTATTTGTTCTTTTTTTCTGATCATACACGATCAAAATGTGCGTATAAGAGTATACGAGTATACTTTAAGAGTATAAGAGTTAAGAGTGTAAGGGCCTTGACTTGTGTCCTCGAAAACTGCATATTGTAGGCAATGTCGCAAAATATAAATTAAAAAACTTTTTTGATTAAACTTCCACAAGAGAAAGTTGAATTGAGAGAAAATTGAATGGAGAAAACACTTTTTTAATTAAGCAGTCCCTTGTATTAGACCACAAAGACAAATCCCACCTTTACTCATTACAGACAATAAAAGGTTTTCGAGCCATCACCTAATCACCCTATTATCCAGAGCTGTATTACCTAATTACCCTTCCCACATGTCCCCAGTTTGGCTACTGAACTTGATTTCAAAAGGTTTATTGAGTAGCTCGAAAGGAGTGAGGTTTGTTCAAAAGCCAATGTGTGTCCCCGTAAAGTTTAGTTGTCTCACTTCTTGGTGTGTTTTGTACATGGTGACGAGCAGGATATCTCATCGTCATTAATACATGGTGTGTTGGGCGCTTATCAATACAATTTATTAATAGCAAAAACGTTTGTTATGCTCGAACAAAATAATATATTTGTCCGTTTTTACGATTAGGGATCGTTTACGTATCTACATATTACCTCTGGTTATATTAGACCACCTCAATAAGCCACTTTACGATTAGTTTATGTGTAGACATGAACCCCCTCTCTTTTAGGCTACCTTATTTAATATGTGAATGATTCCTTAGTAAAAGCAAGACATTGGATGCTGCTAAGTGCTTACAATTTTATAGATTCATGTCAACAAAAACCCCAACAAGGTTGGTTTGGCTTTACCTCAATGCAACTGAGTATGATAATTAGATAACATAAGATTATGTCGTTATGATCATTTTATAGTAATGACATAATGTTATAATCATTTTATGATATCATGCTACAGTAAAACCCCGATTTACCGCGGAGTTTGGGGGAAAGGAAACATCCGCGGTAAATCGGGGTTCGCGGTAAATCGGGGTTTTACTGTATACTTATACTATTATGGGAGCAGGACTATTGAGCGGTGGACTGTTGAGCGTAGGACTGTAGGTCGGTGAAGGTCGGAAGTAGGACTGTAGAGCGGTGTCAAATCGCCAGGGTAGGACTCTAGAGCGGCCGCCCTTATAGATCTCACAACATGAGGACTTTAGAGCGGTACGATCCTAAAATGAGGACTGTAGAGCGGTGGACTGTTGAGCGGTTGACTGTAGGCCGGTGAGTAGGACTGTAGAGCGGCCCTCCCTTATAGATCCCATAACATGAGGACTCTAGAGCGGTACCCTCCTATAACATGAGGACTCTATAGCGGTTTAAAATTTGAAGATTGAACACTCAACGAAGCTAAGTTATACATTGAAACTCGTGATTGATTATGGTCATGACATTCTAGGATGATAACTCTATTAAAGAGTCATGGAGTTAATGAACATTTTCATTATAAATATTTCATTACGCGGGAGTAGATAGTCTTCACTTCGCAGCTGGTGAAGTCTGCAGGATGAATATGAGGTTTAGGGGTGTCACAGACGGAATCTCCAGTGGTGTAGAGGCGACCAGGACACTTGTATTTCCTCAGGACACATCGCCAAGCTTCTAGTTGTAGAAGAGGAGTAGGAATCGAATTTGATATACGAAAACTGGATACTCCGTGATATTTACATCATACCTTCAAAATCCTAACAAGATATCGCACTGCGATGGGATCTGATCTGAATCAGTCCCGTCACCAGATTGATGAACATGAGATATCCTTAGTAGGCGCTAAAGCGTCACGCGATGCGATCCTCATTCCTAAATGATCTGCACGAACTTGATCGGTACTCTGCTTAGCGAAATCACATTGATACGAACAGTTCACTAAAATACCGAAGACACGTTTTACATTTTTGAGTAGCAGGGGAATATTTCAATCATTTGGAAGACGTTGAGACCGACCAATAATCTTAAATTAAGTTACACTATAATATTAGTAATGAAATATTTATAATAAGTAAATGAAAATGTTCATTAACTCCATGACTCTTTAATAAAGTTATCATCCTAGAATGTCATGACCATAATCAATCACGAGTTTCAATGTATAACTTAGCTTCGTTGAGTGTTCAATCTTCAAATGTTCAACCGCTATAGAGTCCTCATGTTATAGGAGGATACCGCTCTAGAGTCCTCATGTTATGGGATCTATAAGGGAGGGCCGCTCTACAGTCCTACTTCCGACCTTCACCGGCCTACAGTCAACCGCTCAACAGTCCACCGCTCTACAGTCCTCATTTTAGGATCGTACCGCTCTAAAGTCCTCATGTTGTGAGATCTATAAGGGCGGCCGCTCTAGAGTCCTACCCTGGCGATTTGACACCGCTCTACAGTCCTACTTCCGACCTTCACCGACCTACAGTCCTACGCTCAACAGTCCTCCGCTCAATAGTCCTACAGCCACTATTGGGAGCAGGACTATTGGGAGCAGGACTATTGAGCGAAGTTATAACAATATGTTAAAGTTTTATGACAAGAGTGTTATAATGTTATGACAGTTGTACAATATAACATCTGCATGATGTTTATAACCTCATAAATCTGAGCTGTGTTGACTTTTGACACACCACAGAGCCATGCCAAATCTTGTGGTCTGTCAAAGAAAACACTAGAATGAAAACAAAGATGTTCATAGTGTTGTACGCATTCTTTGTTTTGTATCGCTAATATTGTAGGCACTATGTAGACTGTTGCTCATTGTAAGTTATTTGTTATAAATGCTTTCCTTATTCAATTCATTGTTGGTAAATGTTGGGTCATTGTGCGATCAAGTCGAGGTTAATTTAGAAATCCCACCCTTTTAAAGATATGATCCATTTTGTTGAATATTCTTTTGCAACAATATTCAAAACTATTTGTCATAAAATCAGTCAAGTTTGTCCCGCATTCCAGTTCACCTGGAGTTTCCTGTGAATCAGAGTTATTAATCAATCTTTAAAATTTTTCATTAGGTATGAGAACACACACAAAGTATAATCTGACTAAAAAAATTATGCAGAATTTAATATTTATTCAAAAACACACAGATTAATGACTACGACGTAAGGGCTATAGAATTTAGATACCTCAGTGAACTGAATGTCATATTGAGAATACATTAAATACAGGTCTGATGTGGTGACTGGTAGATATGCTGTGTGATAAGATAATGGTAGAATAAAGAGAGAATAAGTCGCGTCGATCGAAAATAGGAGGAGATTTAGCTTCGCTTGTACTACTGTTTCGTTCACAAGTGCGACTTTATGCTTTATGCTCGTGAAGAGATTGAAATAACAACTGATATCACCACATAAACACCGTAGTGATTGTCACCAAAATAAATATGTTATTATTTTCATGATAGCAGATAAGGACGAACAAAATAACATTCGTTCCCGTCTATTTCCAAGGTTCCTTAGCACCAGATTTTCCAGAAAGTCAAGAGTAAGGATTACAATTACATACTGGATTTAAGATCAAGGTTGTGATTAATTTAGGCAAAATAAACGAACAATTTACAGCTTTATTGCGCGGGAAACTAAATGTGTATTGTTATTGAATTTGCGGAGTTGTTTTGACTTTTGAGGCGACACTGTTGCCAGGAAAAGTGCTAATACACATGATCCAACACCAATATTAAAGTTTAATGTTGATGCCACAATTAGCCTCAAAAAATCAGTTTCACATGTGGCAAATTTATTGGCAAATTCGTACTGATGATGTAAGGCGCTAAAATCTTAGATTGAAGAAACACTGTTCAAAAACATTTTGGTTGATGGTATTAAGACGCGCGCGCAGTACACGAATCTGCATTTGACGCAATCAGCAGTCAAATAAATCTAACATAATTGATTTTCCAAGCCAAATTTTTGTAAGTCGTTAAATTAGAATAAATGGCTCAAGTTTTCTTTCGTGTGCATGAGAAATAGTGAATTAGGAAACAAAAGATTCTACTGTGTTCAAGGTTTCGTGGTGTAGTGGTTATCACGTCTGCTTCACACGCAGAAGGTCGCGAGTTCGAACCTCGCCGGAACCTCTCTTTTGACTTTAAAATATTTGGATAATTCAACATAGTTATTTACTGTCATTAACTGTCCTTTTCTTCAGACGGGGCCAAAGACTGGTGTTTGGAACGCAACTGCGACCAAGAGAGAATTGCTAAGCGTTGACCGAGCGGCAGGAAACCACATACAAACTTCCTCCATTCACAGCGACCTAAGCTCTGGTAATTCACACCTTATCTTTTAACACTTAAATGTTTTATAAACTTTAACAGTTAACACTTGAGTGTTTTATCAGCTTTAAAAGTTGATGTAAAGTTATCGTCATAGGTTTCGTTTAGAGGTAAGTCTTTTTATCGCAGGAAAATAGAATTACATGAACGCGGAGTATGATGCATTATTCTGTATAAAATCAAGAAATTAGAGGAGAAATTCAGACATCTTGCGGCGTTTTCTTGGTCAACACTTCCAATTTCTAACACCATGCACCCATACCAGATATTCGATAGATTCACACCTGTTCGTGAATATTACTTGTGAAAAAGTAGCATTATATCGTGTAGACGTATATTATAAAGCGTTGCAACTTTGCAACGAGAGCAAATAGTTAAACGTGTAAATGATAGAAACTTCTAACATTTTTGCATTTCTTATTTTGTTTCAGGCCAGTGTTTCTACACATTCACCCGTTTTGTAGCAAGTTTCTGCCTTCTGGCCTATATCTGTACCTACTCCTTTGTAACACTAACATTAATAACCGAATACCGATTTCTGCTAAAATCAATCACTCACACATAATTGATCATCGAATATTGATTGCAGAATTATTGTAAATATAAGATCAATGCATGGTAAACTCCAGCAGTGGCCCCTACACTCTAAGTCTAAGAAAGTACGGAGCTAGTCAAGAACACTCACTTAAGATGCATATCTGAGACAAAACATACTCTATACCTATATAGTCTGATTTACACTTACAGTGTCCGTGGATTTATAAGCTCGCCTAGAGCTCTGGGCAACAATACGCAAGTAAGGGCAAAACAATAGCGTGAAAAGCACCCAGACTACATCTCCATTTTCCATGTAAAATTATATCGATACAATTCGAAGCAGTTATTAGTATAGCTCACACAGCAAACTTGATTTATACTGCCCATTGTTAAAAGTCACGGCGTCCCCTATAAGTATAACTATAAGCTCTAATTTTTAGTTGCACAGTATTTTGTTATAGTATTTTATTATTTGCATTGTAATTCCGTGATGCTAGTGCCTGTAATATTTGTTTCAGCATTGTATCATAATGATTTAATAATTCGATAGGTATGATACAACGTTCTTAGTTGTCGAGAAGGATTTTACTCCTGAATAACAGACCTGCGTTTCTTGCAATTACTGAACATTGTTATTATTTGAATCCATCGAATTGAAATGTCCCTGATCCTGCCAAGCCAGGAGGGTACGACTCCTAGAAGTAGCATGGTAAGCAAGGATGAAGGGACCGCATACTCTGGGGGTCTGCAGGGAGGGACTGCATGCAGGGAGGAACCTCAGTGAGGGACTGCAGGGAGGAACCTCAGTGAGGGACTGCAAGGCATTTTGAGATAGGTAGAGGCGTACGGTGCCTATACTACCACAAGCAATGCAATCGATTACACTAAAACTTTACTACCCGGAAAGACCTGCTATACTTATAGGTGTAGGCCGATCCGAGGCATCTGTTGATAGATGGGTTCTGGTTTGCCCGAGCACATGCCACATCATGGTGTTGAGATAAACTTAACTGGAAAATCTACAAACATAGTTCTTACATCATGTATATCAGTCGGATTAAAGGCATAGAAATTTAAAATCGCACACATGGCGGTAACCGGTATTATGCCATAAATTTCTTTGATCTCTTAGCTTGTTCAAAATAATTTCCAGACAAATCTTTTAACCGAGATATGGGACATAAACCGAGCTTAAATGTTCAGTATAACATTTTCCTTTGGCAACGTTACGCCACTGGATTCAAGTAGACTTACTTTAGCGGAACTTACGACCATCACAAACCCTATCTAGTAAAATGGAAAAATCCTGACGACCACTGACTAGCATTTCTGTAGCTCAATTAGCTAAATACACAACATTAAACAGCAAGATCATGATACTTTCTGAGTCAAGATTATGCAAACTGACTGACTAATTGAGCAAATTGTTTTACTATACCTGCACAACCACACACATTATGCAGCCAGCACAATAACCTAATTAACCACAACTAAATCGTATGCTCTAATTCCAAATGTTTGATCTCTCTCCTTCTTGAGTCTGGCCTTTCGGTGTACCTTTTACCTGATGATAGCTGGTTGTATTTAGTTTCTGAAGTATAACTCCCATAATGTAATATATTTTTCTTTCTTGCAATCGATTTCCAGGACGTGCACTATAATTTTAAAGGTGTTATAACAGTCGGATATACATTCAGTCGGATATACATTCAGGATAAATAAAATCATTAAGAGCGCTTTCTACTTTTGAACTTTTTTATCGTGGTTTTCAAAGGAATTTTGTTGGTCGTGGAACGTGTTATATTTTCATTAATAACAGTCGTATGTACACTCGTCACTCAGTCGGATATACATTCAGGATAAATAAAATCATTAAGAGCGCTTTCTACTTTTGAATTTTCTTTGATCGTGGTTTTCGAATGGTTTTTGTTTTCGAATGATTTACATTGAGGATAAATAAAATCATTAAGAGCGCTTTCTACTTTTGAATTTTCTTTGATCGTGGTTTTCGAATGATTTTTGTAGGTCGTGGAACGTGTTTTCTTTCTTTGAATTAAGACAAATATTTTAACCTGTAATGAACTCTTATTCTGTACAATCTCCCTCTTACAGCTAACATGGCTTGAGCAATATGAAAGGCTATTTGGAAATTGGAACCAATCATTATCAGGTCATTTTATTTATTTATTTTCAAATCAATAATTGTAGGCCATAATCGTTCATCCATAGTCGTTCATCCACAATATAGTTGTTATATGCTCTTGTTTTTCAGGGTATTATTCACACCAGTGATCAGATGATTTACAGGCTCTTATTTTTCAGGGTATTATTCACACCAGTGATCAGATGATTTACAGGCTCTTGTTTTTCAGGGTATTATTCACACCAGTGATCAGATGATTTAGAGGCTCTTGTTTTTCAGGGTATTATTCACACCAGTGATCAAATGATTTACAGGCTCTTGTTTTTCAGGGTATTATTCACACCAGTGATCAGATGATTTACAGGCTCTTGTTTTTCAGGGTATTATTCACACCAGTGATCAGATGATTTACAGGCTCTTGTTTTTCAGGGTATTATTCACACCAGTGATCAGATGATTTAGAGGCTCTTGTTTTTCAGGGTATTATTCACACCAGTGATCAGATGATTTACAGGCTCTTGTTTTTCAGGGTATTATTCACACCAGTGATAAGATGATTTACAGGCTCTTGTTTTTCAGGGTATTATTCACACCAGTGATCAGATGATTTACAGGCTCTTGTTTTTCAGGGTATTATTCACACCAGTGATCAGATGATTTACAGGCTCTTGTTTTTCAGGGTATTATTCACACCAGTGATAAGATGATTTACAGGCTCTTGTTTTTCAGGGTATTATTCACACCAGTGATCAGATGATTTACAGGCTCTTGTTTTTCAGGGTATTATTCACACCAGTGATCAGATGATTCACAGGCTCTTGTTTTTCAGGGTATTATTCACACCAGTGATCAGATGATTTACAGGCTCTTGTTTTTCAGGGTATTATTCACACCAGTGATCAGATGATTTACAGGCTCTTGTTTTTCAGGGTATTATTCACACCAGTGATCAGATGATTTACAGGCTCTTGTTTTTCAGGGTATTATTCACACCAGTGATCAGATGATTTACAGGCTCTTGTTTTTCAGGGTATTATTCACACCAGTGATCAGATGATTTACAGGCTCTTGTTTTTCAGGGTATTATTCACACCAGTGATCTGATTTACAGGCTCTTGTTTTTCAGGGTATTATTCACACCAGTGATCAGATGATTTACAGGCTCTTGTTTTTCAGGGTATTATTCACACCAGTGATCAGATGATTTACAGGCTCTTGTTTTTCAGGGTATTATTCACACCAGTGATCAGATGATTTAGAGGCTCTTGTTTTTCAGGGTATTATTCACACCAGTGATCTGATTTACAGGCTCTTGTTTTTCAGGGTATTATTCACACCAGTGATCAGATGATTTACAGGCTCTTGTTTTTCAGGGTATTATTCACACCAGTGGAGTGAAATCTCCTCCAGTTCGCAGCTAGTTGACTGCGACCCAATAACCTCAGGCTCGGGCCCCGCCGCCGCTGCCGCCGCCGGACCCAAGCCCTCCGGCACCCTGGCAGAGAACACGAAAAGTGCTGTTATTGTTAAGACTGGTAAGTTTTCATTTAATTGTTACCAAGGTTTTGACTAGTGATTATACGGTAGTTAATGTTATCATGTAATCATTCATTCGTTATCTAATCTGTCGCAAATTCTCTATGTCGTCGAGTAACCATGATGCATGGATGTATCAAAGCAGTTTTATCATTTCTGCAGACTTTATTGTTTTATAAACTCAGGTGATTCGTCAACTCCAGTCTCCGGTAATATTCAGCAACAAGGTAAACCGGATGAAGAGGAGTATTCCTCAGAGATAAAGGAGGAGAAATTTCAGCGATGCAAGTAAGTTTGGAACATTAGAGAGGATCCTCTGCCGGAAAATCTATTTATAACTATTCCATCAGCAGATATTCATCTAGCAGCAACATGCGATTGCTCTTATTCCTGATTCTTCTCACTTTCCGAACAAAATTTTTTATCGCAGTATTATCAGCTTAATTAATCCACCAATTATCAAATCCACAAACGGTCACAACTAAAAGAACCAATTACTGCAGGTATTGCAACAAACAGTTTGATTTCGGCGAGGAGGTATCCCCTGATGAGTTATGTCCCTCAGCTCCCAACAAAATGAGGGAGACCCTGGATCGTGCCTGCTGTGTCGTCTGCTACAAGGGAGCATGGTATAACCCTTCCTTATTTAACTAATAAATAACCTTATTCGTTGAATTAATAAAGACCAAATAAATTGCCTTATAATTTCCATCCGCCAATAATTAACACACTAAATAGTTTGAAATTCGGAATCCCCATGAGCATGATGATCGCAACAACTTGTATAGCTGAAAATATAAATGTAGTTTAAGTTAGAACGACTCACTCAACGACTGACTAGATTGTCTCCTTCAGGTACCATCTCACGAAGGACACACTAGACGACGAGGGCCAGGATATTGGGAGATGTCGCCCCGGGGCCGGCATGACCACAACTTACTGGTGTTTGTTGGGTTTCCTCTCCGTCGTATGTGCGCCTTGTCTCGTTTTCTGGTACGTCCAACATGGTGGTCACATGGTGGATCATGTAATTATGATGAGCGTTTGATATGAAATCGACAAGTCAGTAATGATGGTGTCAGCCACAGTCAAAGAATTATGTAATTTAACTTCAATATTGCAAGTGAAATGTATAGAAATCTGATTTAGGTCTGATAATGTGACCATGTTTATTATAACAATGATGTGACCCTGTTTATTATAACCAGGTGTCCACTAAATGTTTGTGAGCTGGCAGCCCAGCACGCTGGATTGACAGGAGGACCTCATTCCCTGACTACAATCAAGAAAAAAACCACCATGGTACCAAGCAAGAGAAAGTAAGTAGTCTAATCGGGAAATTATGTTTAAAGGGGTAATCGGAGCTTGTTGGGTATTGTTTTAAAACTAATTGATTATCACAACCGAAAAACACATACAAATCAGGGGCCAACTTCAACTTAAGAAACTAAGATGCAAGATTTCTGTTTAGTTGTCCTTTGACGAATACGATTGCTTTATTTCATGGGTTTACTGGAGGTCTGCCAAATAAAATATAAATTTTTCTTTTATAAAAAACGGCTACCGGACAACTGAACCCAATTTAGACAATTTAGACTAACCCTAACCCTAACCCTAACCCTAGCCCTAACCCTAACCCTAACCCTAACCCTAACCCTAACCCTAACCCTAACCCTAACCCTAACCCTAACCCTAGCCCTGCCCCTAACCTATTAAGCTGATTGGTTAGTGGGAACTAGGTTTAATTGGGTTCAGTTGTCGGTCACCCTAAAAAACAACTTTCAGACAACATGTTCAAAAAGAATAGCTAGTTTTTCTATAGCTCGGTAAGTTCAGAGTGATTTGCCATTTGTATTGGGTTTGATAAGTTGAGCACTTTTCTGTAGTCAGTTCTTGTTGATGGTTTGAAGTGTCCATGATAGTGATGTTTGATATATAAGCTTGTTGAGATTTTGCAATTTACTCACTCCTTGTATTTGGAATGCTTTTGTATACCTTACGAGACATATTTATGTTCGACATAATTCCGGTGACCTAAATGATTTGGGAACGAAAATATGGGAATTTTTTCCGAAAACCGCCACATTTCGTACCCCGACTTAAATCATAGTATTTGGGGATTTTTTCCATCTCCTTATTTTACAAAAATGAAACTTAATATTTGAGAAAATTGAATACAAAGATCTTCTCTGATCAGCTGTTCCATCTTGTAAACAATTTATCCGAGCCTTTGAAAGTTAGCCTCAACTTAACTTATAATCCTCCAGAGGGTATAGGAGACCGACAGTGTTTGTTATCTTTCACTAATCCCGAAATTTCACCGCCGTGGACAATATAGTCGTGACAGAGCTTGCTTATTTTTAATGGAACGTGTCCAAAATAATTTTTAAAGCAATTCAATGATAGAATACTAGTGTTCATCGATTGTTTGATGAACCATATCTATAACTTACTAATACTATATTGATAAGTTGAGAGTAAATCGATAAAGTTATAATTAAGGAAAATACGTGAAAAATAATTTGGGGAAAATAATGATGGTGACCTAAATTTTGGTAGTCCAAAAATATGGTGTTTTTTCGAAAAACCACCGACTTTCGTACCATTTAAGTATATCTCGTAAGGTAATAACTGTAAGGGTAACATTTCCAATACATATTTCCACTATTATATTGTAGTGGCTAATGCTCCAAGAAGATTAGAGCATCAGATCATTACGGCATTAATATTACCAATTAAGTTAATTTATGGTTCATTCATGTTCTAAATGCCAAATCTCCAATTTTTTGGGTTCACTGTTGCACATGTTTTTATGACTTTCAGTCACTCTGAAAACTATTATGAAATGATTTGTGTTGAAATAATGAAAACAAACACTATTACTTCCGGTGTAAGACTTTCGATGTAAGACCAATATCTCACAAACAATCAGTTTATCGTTTATTGTAACTCTTTTCAGATGTACCATCCTAGCATGCTCTTATTTCAGGGAGGGTCAAGAGGACGGTGGGTACGGATCTGAAGGAGACAGAGTGATAACCGAGCAACCTCGAGTGAGCTCCCAACTGGAGCCCCTCACTGTGCGGATATCTCTCCCCCAGGAGGAGGAGGAGGAGGATTATGACGAGGAGGAGGCCGAACAGGCTCACATGATGGGTTTCGAGGTGGACGAGGGGCAGCACGTGCGAACTGCACGTGGGCGTGTCACCCCCCAGGTGCAACGCGCACAGAGCGAGCTGGTCCCGGACAGACGGGCAGCCTCTCCTAATGTGAACGTGGTTCAGAGGTCCATGTCAGAGAGCCGGGGTTAACATTCCTGGATTAATCTGCTCTGTGTCTCTATCTCAGTGTTTGGTGATCATGTTGTGTGGTCTGCAGTACAAAGTGGTGTTGGTCGCCGGTCGAACTGTGGTTGTGTGGTTGAGGACCTTGTTCAGTTTGGATGGGGATTTAGTTGTGAAATCTTGAGTGTGTTAATGTTTTCCTTTCCAAACTTATACACAGTCGCACCGGCTCAATATTCATGCAGAGCGAACATTTGACAAATCATCAACTATACTGTTGATATTATAAGCAATTACCCAGTTATACAGTAGTGAGACTATAGATTACCAATTACGGTGGTCGTGAGTCATATCACGTGACACATCACGACACTGCTACGCTGCGATATTACGAGAAATACATGAGGGAGAGATATGATGAACAGACAGCTACATAACGGCCTCAAATTTAAAGTGTAACGGTTAACGCCTGCGTTATCATATTCTACTACCATCTTATCCAGTGCCAAAACAACGCGTAAGAGGCTATATCCGAAAAGGACGAGACGTTGGAACTTTTGATGCTCAGGGTGAGTGTGTGGGTCAGGGTCTTTATATGCCCCGAGAGTGGAGACTCAGGGCATATTCTGACCACTTGATCCGGCGTACCGTGTCCCGCTCGATTGTGTACCGTCTTTATTACGGGATCGGTACACTTTTGAGACGGGCACTAAAAATGCAAGCACGCTCCCCAGAGCGGTGCACTAGTTCCCCTTATTTGCTGTTTTCATTCGTGTGAGTTTCTCTTCGTGTATTTGCAAGGATTTTTTGTCTTTGTATTGTGTTTATTTATCTCAAAATATTACCAAAAAACGAAGAAAATGTTAGAGTTTCAATTGTTCTGCGATATAATAATACGTATTGTGGAGAAGGGTTACGTGTACATTTTCGGCTAATCTTTTGTAAAATGACTACATTAAACGTACTTTTAACTAAAATTTGAATGAGCGATGTATGTTACGAGGAAATCGATTCTGGAAGCGAGAAACAGCCTTTGACTGTGAAACTCGACAACAAGGTCTGATCGGAAACAACTAATATTCTTGTCAGGTTTGGCTGTTGATTACGTAATCAAAATTTTCTTTTTTAGTACCCTCTTAGTTAGGGAGGGTATGTAATGGCGTGGGATTAGTTTAGTAAAAGCAATTTGACTTCAAGAATCACTAGTTGGAAGCCTAAACTAAAGGATTTTTATAGGTGGCAATTTTTATTTTGGCGGGAACACCCCTATACGGGCCACGCCCTTTTTTAAAAATCCGAAAAATCCGAAATGCTTATATTGATAGTAGACTAGGCTTGTGGGGTACCAAAAGAAAGGTATTGGCCCACTGAACTCAGTGAAAATAAGTTTGGCTCTTCCCAATACACCATACGGGCATAAAAGGCGAAAACGGCGAAAATTGGCAAGATAATTGCCTTGTTTGAAAATTGTTCTATACTAGCCATGTGGGGTACCAAAAGAAGCGTAATGGTCCTGTGAGTGATTATAACAGTGACTAAACATTTTCCAAAAACTTTGTATTGAACGTTACGCAGTAATTCTTGTTTTTCATGATTTTTATTTCCTGCCTCTTGAAAACAAAACAAAGACAAAAGTTGTGTGTAAAAACCATGTCCTGATCAACTTATTGGAAATAAACAAACAACATTACAAATAAACAACAAAATTTCACTGAAAACATCAAATACAAGTAATCTCTAAATCATGTATACTTGTGTCAGATTTCACATTGTTCATAATTAGACGTCAGCTAAAATCTAAATCTCTAGATCATTGTCAAGGTCACTGATGTTTGAACAATCTACACAGCGGCACAGTGCAGTGCACCTCAAGCCAACCTTTCTACATGAACATGACCCTGCAATACACTTGGTTTTCTTGCAACCACAATCCGTCATGTCCAGCGTGGCTTCAGGCACCGGTGGCTCATCTGTTAGGATAGGCACCAAGGCTAGATGAGCATTCCCTGAAGGGTTGGATAACCACCCAAATTGGAGAGGGTCAGGGTAAATAGCCTCAAAGCTCAGCAGTGATCTCTTCCAGACAATTGTCACATAATGGCTTCTGAGGATCTTCCACTTCAGTGCTCCCATTGTCGGGGGTAACTTCTCTGAGGTGAGCTGTTTCTTGCTGAATAATTGCCACCGTAATTCACCAATACTGACAGCTACAATACCTTTAGTCATGTATGCCTTCATCAGGAACTGTTCCAAACCACCATTCAACGCTTCCATATCTACATCATCTTCACTTAACATACTAAAGCAGCGCACTTCATCAGATGTAGAAGCTAGATACAGCTTGAGGAGCCTCGCTTTGGAGATACCATGGTACGTTCCTATTTGATCGCACCCACTGAAGGAGTGAAACCCAACCATACCTGCTACAAGGTGTTCATCTAGTTTACCAATAAAGTAGTCCATGGGCAGATCTCTGTGCTTGGCTTTGGTTCCTGTTCTGACGACAATCTTATTCCATTCATCAACTCCAGTCTGTCGCTGGTGATGAGCAGTGAGAGCTGGTAATAGAAGGAGAACAAACACGTCTGTGTCTGGAGAGCTCACGACAATGTATGATGAAGTCACTGCTGATATAATGACATTGACCAGCTTGATCATCAGGGTATCAGCTTCCTCTTGTGTGTGATCAGTCTCATTTGCCATCATGTCCATGTTAGATTTGATAGTTTCTCCATAGACAACGGTGTAGCTTGCTTCTGATGCTATGAATGCCTCCTCTGCCCGTTCTGCTAGGATCTTCGTAAGCGTGACTTTGGTCTTGACGTGGGAGAGTAGCATCTTTGTTTTGAGCTTTCCTATGTCTGTGTTATGAGCTAGTCTGAACTGCACTTGTTTTCCATTAGTCCTCTGATCTCTGGTCATTGCTTTTAGTGACATGGGGAAATCATATCTATCAAACACTAGAAGGACATTCTCAAAGCCTCTTGATTCACCAGCTACACGCTTGACGAAATGATCACCAAAGTCTTGCACGGTGTTGATCTTATTCTGCGGTAGCTCAATGGAGATCTTGTTTACGATCGCCATGGCGTCAATGATGATATAGCTGGCTTTAGCAGGAGGTTTAGCAGGAGGTGTCACCTGATACCCAACATGTTCTTCTAGGGTTGAGAGGAGCAGGTACTTATCCTTACAGGGATGTGGCATACCATCGGCAGAGCACAGTGCCCTTGGCACGACTGTGAACTCATGCCTGGCTGTGATCGCCTGAAGGTCTATTTCAGCCTGTTCTTTGAGGCTATCATCCATTTGGTCATCATGCCCCTCTCCTCCTTCATGATTACAAATCCTTTGGCGACCTTGACCTTGACAGCCTTAACCGAGTCTCTGAAAAGATACAGCTTCAATTTCTTCATCGGTGACCAAACTGGCTCATCTCCAAGTATTCTTTCAGTCACGAATGTGTCCTCAGCCGCCCGTCCAAGTTCACAGATGTTCAGCAGACCATGGTCATTCTCTAAAACACAGCGGGACATTACATTGTGGACAACATCACTCTCATTGAACGTAACATCCATCTCATTCATTGCCTCTACCATTAGCCTGACATTAGAGCAGAGTACTCTGTTACTGCCACCAGTGAGCTCGTAGTGAAGGTCTCTCTCATCCTTCTTCTTGATGTGGTACGTCTGTTTAAAATCAGTCACTGTTCTTGCCATTGCTGGGGCTGATTTGAAATAAACATTCCTAGCATCATGGTCAGACGTCATATGTGAAGGCCCTCCTGTAGTCTTAAACCCCCTGATTCCCTGCTCCATTGCATGATCTCCCCCTAGGCAAACAAAGGGAATGTCAGACGTCCAACATCCAAAGTTACCCTCATCTAGATACGTCCATGTTTCAGTGTCATGAGTTTGCAACTTCTTCATGGAAGCAAGGTAGACAGGTGTCATCCTCGCATAATTCTGGAAGTCTAAGGCAAAGAAGTACTTGACCAATTGAGAGAGGGACTGAAGGTGCATCTTCCAGTTAGCGGTTCTAGTTGCACGGATAAACATCATCAGATCTTCTATGCTGGTCATTATGTTATCAAAGAACTTTGCCTGCTTCTTCAGGTTACTCCTGTACGTCTTCACCTTCTCATAGTAATCAGTCTTTTTCAATTCCTCGGTAAGTTCATCAAATAGATCTAATAAAGCAGACTGGGTCTCATAGGAAGGACCTACTTTGGTTGAGAAAGTAGTAATTGCAGCATTCACTTGGTCACGCATTAGCTGGTCATCCTCAAAGATGTTATTTAACATGACTTCATGTAGAGCAAGGTACAGGATCATGTAGGCTGTAAGGCAACGCTGCATATGTTTGCCATCTATGATTTGACCCATGGTTGTGGGACCATAGATCCCACACCGGATGAACATATGGTCAAATCCACTCTCACTGATTTGTTTGCCTACCACTCTGCACGTGACAAACACTGCATGGAGTTCACCCATTCTGAAGACCATACCATCGTTAACATCTCCTTTACTTTGTAGCTGGACAGCTTTTATATAAAGCTGCATATCAAGGCTAATAATTGTCTTTCTTCCAGGAGTAACTTGAGTGGTGATACCTTGACAAATCTTCAGTGCTCCGTACAAGGTTGACCAGTCTGTTGGAGAGGTGTAAAGAGGCGGCAGCATTTCTCGCAGTGTCATATAGCCGGGTCTCTCATTGATAAGGGAATTTAGGCCTTTCCATGTAGGGACAGTTTCTGGCTCTGGCACTGTGTTTTTAAGCAGAGCCCAATTTTCATCTTGCATCTTGGGTAGTTCCGCAGCTTCCATTGTGTGGTATGTATCATAATTGAGGTTAGGAGGAGTTGGCTTAGCACAGTGCGGCAGTAACTGCTCTTCTTCAGTTGAGCGTATTGACCGAAGCTTCTTCTTACGATTTAGTAGGAGCTGAGGAGATGAGTTAGCTATCATGGCAGTAGTTCTCTTCTGCAATACCATCATTGCTGTCCCATGGAGCTCTCCTTTGCCATTCCAATCATCATTCTCAACATCTACATTGTCAATAGCATGGTAGATAGGTTCATTGTCTTCTATAGTTGAATCGCTGTATATATCTCTGTCTGTCTGTCTGTACGACCGCCCACGTAAAAAGCAAAAGATTGCATAGTAACCATGGTAACGAAGATTGGTACACTGTACACGAACCTGCACGTGCAAATATTTACGAGCGCGATTTTTATCGATTTTGTGGTAATTACGTTGTGTTTAACGTGTTTTACATTTAATTCGGCTGTATCTTTGGTTGTGACGGATATTTTCTGATGCAACAAAAACTGACTACTAAACTGACTGTAAAGATAGATAAAAATACTATTACCTTCTTCCCTGTGACCACGGGTTTTCTAGTATATATATATTATGAGATATTTCCACCCTACTTAGTATACGCCCGGGATATAATATAAATTAATAAATGCATGCACTGCTCTGTAATGAAATAACCCTCTGAGCGCAAGCAGAACATTCAAGTATTCTTCCGAATCTAGTCACGCTGTTTATGCCCACCTGATACATTTTGGAGGCCCACAAGGTGATTATATTCACTCACTGGACCATTACGCTTCTTTTAGTACCCCACATGCCTAGTATAGAACAATTTTCAAAAAATGTCATTTTCTCGCCCGTTTTCGTCGATTTCGCCGTTTTCGCCCATATGGAAGGGCAGGGAACCCCACATTTATTTTTCCTGACTTCAGTGGGTCATTACCTTTCTTTTGGTACCCCACAAGCCTAGTCTACTATCAATATAAGCATTTCGGATTTTTCGGATTTTTAAAAAAGGGCGTGGCCCGTATATGGGTGTTCCCGCCAAAATAAAAATTGCCACCTATAAGAATCCTTTAGTTTAGGCTTCCAACTAGTGATTCTTGAAGTCAAATTGCTTTTACTAAACTAATCCCACGCCATTGATATTCCTGACATATCCTCCCTAACTATCTAGAGTGATAACAATTTGACAATATTGTAATTCCAATTCCACTCAATTTCACTCTGATAGTGATAAAATTTAGAAATCAATCGGATATCCGATTATATAGTAAGTAGTTTGAAAGGTGCTTGGCCGGATATCATAACAATGACTTCAGCTCCTAAAGATCAGGGTAGCATGACATAAAACTTAGAGAAGTGTTTTCCAGGGAAAAAAGTCAAAAAGGGGGGGGGGGGGGGGGGGGGGGTAGTCCGGTCATATATGGACATTTATGGAAATGAACCTGCAAATTTTCAGATACTCACGAAACTTTGCACAGACCTTCCCAAAGGTATGAATAAACGATTTTCGGTTGGAGACATTTTTTACCGTGGGGAAAACCCAGGAGGGCCACACCCATATTTACCCAATAACGTTACTGACCCTTTGCTTCTGAAGGTCGTAGAGACTTCAAAATAGGCTTAAACGAAGCCGCATATGCATGTTTATATAGGAGTTATTGATCAACACATGGCCTAAAATCCTTACTTTTCGAGAAATTCGCCAAAAACCATTTTGGGCGTGGCGCTGAGCTCATTTTACTAACTTTTGATAGGATCGTGATAGAGTCTTCGGATGGAGTACAAAAGAACCGCAATTGGCATAATTATATATGACTTACGAAGAAACATATGCCTTAAAGTGCTAACTCGAAAAGTAAACATTTTAGGGTACATGTTGCTTCATAAGTTGTATATAAACATGGCCATTCTGCACAATTTGCATTCATTCAAAAATCTCTACGGCCTTCATAGTATAGCCCAATTTACCAGATACCCATATTTTTGCATGATTTCTGGAACCGGCGAAAATCAGTTTTTCGCCAATAACTGAAAAAGTAAGCACTTTAAGGCATATGTTTCTTCGTAAGTTATATATAAATATGCCAATTGCGGTTCTTTTGCACTCTATCCGAAGACTCTATCACGATCCTATCAAAATTTAGTAAAATGGGCTCAGCGCCACGCTCAAAATGGTTTTTGGCGAATTTCTCGAAAAGTAAGAATTTTAGGCCATGTGTTGATCAATAACTCCTATATAAACATGCATATGCGGCTTCGTTTAAGCCTATTTTGAAGTCTCTACGACCTTCAGAAGCAAAGGGTCAGTAACGTTATTGGGTAAATATGGGTGTGGCCCTCTTAATTGACGATGTCATGTCAATTCATGGCAGCTCGGCGCGGCACAGTAACGCATCGCGCTATGATGGCCCTCCTGTGTCCTGGGTTTTCCCCACGGTAAAAATGTCTCCAACCGAAAATCGTTTATTCATACCTTTGGGAAGGTCTGTGCAAAGTTTCGTGAGTATCTGAAGATTTGCAGGCACCTGTCCTTAAATGAATGGACTAGGGGGTCAGGCCTTAACGATGTCAATCCGTCGAGATCGTTGCTCTGCGAAGCAGAGCTCAACGATCGACGATGCGAAGCAAGAATGCTAGTTTGCGCGGCGCGTCGAAGCGGCGAAGTCCTCCAAGGTCAGGTCATGGTTACGTAATTTTGCTGTCAAGAGGGGGGTGGCAAAAATTGCTAAAATATAATTGATTACGTAATATGTGAACGACCACTTAGGATTGATTCGAAGACGATCACGTCATTACAACTCTGAAGCTTGAGTACCTCAATTCAGAAATTTAGTGTCACGACTCACGAGGACACGAGCATGCGATCTACTATACGATTCGGAGTCCCCCAGCTATTGACGTAGAAAAACCAACTAAACGAAAACATGTTGTTCAAATAATGCGTGATAGAGATAAAAAAGTACAATAAATTGGCGTGCGCGCGCGTGAAAATACGTACGTGTTGCACTATTACGATAACGAATTTAAGGTAAGACTTGGCGCGTTACTGTTATCCTGTTTTTTTTTCGACCAACAAAGATAACAAAAGATAGAACATAAGCTCACTGTTAATTGTTAATATAACTTAGGAATGAAACACAAATAATACTTGTAAGTTAACATGACTGTAAGGAAAACCTTTTCGATACCGCATACTAAAATGAGTTAACAAAAGTTGGATCATTAATTTGGTCTTGAAATGGAGCACAATAGTATGAATGATATGGCTATTGCGGTGATATCATATCCATCTCACATCAATAAATGTTTTTGCCATGAAACGGACCAAACTGATCCTAACTCATATTCCACTCATCATAGCATATCGCTTCAGCATGTACAAAGGGCATAATCTCAATCAGTTTAATGTAGTGAAATGACTGGTGTGAATGAAGTAGTGTACTAATACAAGTTGGAGAGGATCAGGTAAGCTTAGTCAGCATCCATGATGTTACAAACCCTCTGGGACATTACTGCGCCCAGTCTCCAAAGTTACAGTAAATTCCTACTACGGACAAACAAACACAGACAAAACACCAACAAGAAACTGATATACACTAGCTAGCTCAGAGAGGAAATGAGTACCGGCTCAGGAGGTATGTCAAAACAGGGCGCCCTTTCGAACACTACTCGGGCTAGAATCAGTGCAATTCGGACACTACTATGCAACTGAACCATCTCACATATTGAATCAACAACACCAAGGTTCACGATTTAGAACGTGACCTTAATACCATCCCTGAAAATCATCAAATATGGGTAAAGGGTGAGCCTCTGTATTGAAAACCCACTTGTCAAACGACAAAACATCAACATCGTCCTCAAACAACAAGTATAAATATTTGAGAGTCTCTGCTAAGAAGAATGACTCTGTGACATCTAGAGTGACAGTGTGGACATCCCTTACGTCGTATACTGCTGTGTAGCCATTACAGTTTCTGCTAACCCTCTCAAACGCCTGTAAAAACAAGCAATGAAGTAGTTAATTATATCGCATATTTAGTGAATCGTGTAAAGTTGTGTACTATGTTTTTCTAATGGCTGATAAGTTTTTTTAATACGTGCATTAAAACTTCAAAATACTGGAAAAGTTTTGCAGGGATATTTTGGAGCAAGAGAATTTGGTCATAGAACAGACAAGGCTGGTCGGTCGGGCGCCGGTCGGAGGTAGGTGAACGCCGGTCGGAGGTCGGTCGGAGGTCGGTCGGAGGTTGGTCGGAGGTTGGTCGGAGGTTGGTTAGAGGTCGATCGGGCGCCGGTCGGGCGCCGGTCGAGCGCCGGTCGGAGGTTTTTGGGTACTTCACTTCAAAAGGGAAAAAAAAGAAAAGGAAAAAAAGTTACATATTATATAAACCTCCCATAATAAACCTTAATTAATAAAACAAGTCAACTCCTCCACCAACCTGAAATATGTTCCAAGCCATGTCCCTGTACTTCTCATTGCCCGTAATACGCCACAACACAAACAAACTCTCCACAGTTTCAGGCCGCAGATGATTCTCTGAAGACAGGGCCTCCACCCCTTCAGGCCGGAATCTCACAAACTCAGCTGCTAAACCTGGGCACACAATATTGCTGTCTAATCAACGTTTAAAGTAATACAGAATAAAAAGAAGAGATCACAGCTCAGAGCTTAGTAGCTAAATTATCACAAGCAGTCACACGTGGTGCTAAACCAACTTATATAACTTAGATAATTATATGATATTTAAATGTAAATATGTTTATTACAGACCTGTGGGTTGGGTGGTGTACAAGTAATAACAGCTCTGCATTATTTCTTCCGCTAGATCAAGATGCCACTTCGGTAATCTGAAAGTAACAATACTTATAGTTATATGATTTAAATGTCAAAACAAATAACGCCTTCAGTGCTTAGAACTTCGCCCTTAGAATTAAATCCATCCACAACCGGACTGAACCCTACAAAATAAGTTCAAGTTTTATTAACAGCTCTTCCAGATCGACCAGATTGATGCAGTTAAAATCCAAGGTAACAATAACTGTCAACAAATTCAAGATCGGATCCGTCCTGTACGGAACAGATCTATGAGAGAGCCCTGATCAAACGCTGTGGAGGTGACCTGGCCCACTACTACCAAGAGACTACTACGATCTGGAATCAACCTGATGCCGGATGCCGTCATGGCCGGATTCTCCAGAAGTTCCAACATCGCCGAGGGTTGGCACAACGGTTTCCGATCCTTGATGGGCTGCACGCTGTGATTGATAACTACGATGATTATGACAGATTGGACTTTTCGTGTGTTGGAACCATGATTTTGAATTGAACATTTTGTGTGTGTAAACTGTAATCTAATGATATATCTTTTAATTTTACCTCAACTTATACACGACTACGCTCTTGTCTACATCAAAACTTTAAAATTCTCTGTCGCACTTCAGTTCGTGTCGCACATGTAAATAACGTGATTCCACAAAAAACCGAGTCATCCTCACTACCTGAAGAACATATTATCTAGGATAGCTTAACCAACTTTGAAATCATTTGAACTGAAACTAATTACTTGACTGGTCTGAATTAACCCCCAAGATACAGAGACTTGTTATGTCACCTTTTTCTGTTCTACTTCTTGGTTTCTAGCATTTCACGTCAGAAATGTTGGGAGATTAAAGGCGTTTGTAATTTTAGTGAAACAAGCCTGATGAATCACCCGGAGCTCAAGTTCAGCCATGTCAAACAAATTCCATAAAAGCTGATAAACTCATGGCTGATTCTCTAAGTTTTCCGTATATGAGAAATTTACCATTTAGACTTAATTTTCGCTTTGAATATGTCCCAAACCAATAAATCAAGGTAAGTACAATAAAAAGGGTTACCTACCCATAAAAGTGACCGAGAGCGAGAGTGCCGGGAAGGAAGCAGGAGAGATGGTGAAGATCAGCAGATAGAGTGACGTTGTTAGCGCGGTGTCCCAATACGCTTACTCTCCGACCCCGTAGTCGCACCCACACCATTAGCCTCTCCTTCATACCTTCCACTGCCTGATCAGGTTCAACATTTTATTTTGTTGTATTGCAAAATAATTGATGGCAGTTACCAGTAAATCAGAAATTTATTAATTTAATGATTTACAATATCTCGGCTAAAATGACAAAAAATGGCCCAAAATTATTTGTTCCTGTCACTGCAATGTTATTTAAATGAACTATCAAGTACATTTGAAAATTTGCACATTTTTACTAACGAAGTAGAATTGAATTTTCGTTAGATTCAATTCCCTAACATTCCCTAACATTCCCTAACATTCCCTAACATTCCCTTAGTAATCACTAATCAGCCGTTAAATCAGTCGACTGATGCCTGAAAAATAAACTGACCTTTAAGTACTGGGATTTGAATCTAGTTGCAGTGAAATTACTGTGAACCCACTGTTTCAACAAATACTCGTAATAGCTGTCAACACCTGGTCCAGCGGCAACATCACTTGACTCCACATACCTTCCTTCATCCTAGGGGAGGCAAAGTGAGGCAAGGTAGACATAACATAACATTATATAGAGGCAAAGTGAGGCAAAGTAGACATAACATAACATTTTATAGAGGCAAAGTGAGGCAAGGTAGACATAACATAACATTATATAGAGGCAAAGTGAGGCAAGGTAGGTGATATAATCTTCGAGTATTGAGAAAAGATTTTATTATTTATCACCAATTTAATACACGATCAATCAATAAATAATAGGTAGAATCCAGCCCAAGTGTATCTAGTGGACTTGCTATGGATTCCCCACAAAGTTTTGTTGTTATACTCGTATTCATAAACTGGGTAGGTCACCATTTTGAGGAAGCCAAGGTTTACGGTAGTGAGTGAACGACAATGCAAAGAGGGGCGATTATAAAAAACTATAAATCGGCAAGGTTTTTTAAGGTTCCAAGGAATTTGCTACTCAGTAAGAGATTTTATGATTCAAAATAGATCTCCTCATTTTAAATTCAACTGTCCTCTTAAAAGAAATTTTATGATTGGAGAATCGGTGTAATACGGAGCTTGGGACAGATGTAGTTACCTGCAAGGAACTATTATTTCATGCAGCTGTTTTGTCTAAACTATACCGAAATAACCTAAACTTACCGTTTTCGTAATAAAGCCGCTCGGAAATTACACAATCAATCAATAAAATATGTACATACACACTGAATAAATAATATTCAACTAAATGCTGGCGCTAGATGATAACATCAGACACTATACTATTATACATTATATACTTTAGTGGAGTTAGTGCGTATGCTAGCAACTAGCTGGTATATAATACTCGAGCTGGTTAAGTCGACCTGACCACACTGTCACTCTCATAGTCTCATTGGCACAGTTGATGAAAGAATTCAGGCGCCGTTAAGCTTTTATTAGTAGTATATTCAAAGATCTGATAATGTTGCTATGACTCAAGTTAAATTTAATTTTGATGCTATATTGTCATGCGGCAGTTAAGTTGCAGCTGCACGCAATCTACACTAATAATTCCAAAATGTTTGTGTGTCTGTCTGTGGGTAATTTCCGAGCGGCTTAATTAAGAAAACGGCAAGAGTTATGGGACTGGTAAACATGCTCGCTATATATACTTTTATATATCACAATATGTACATTTTAGCTTAATATTGACCACTGAAGGTGACCACCTGGTGAGCACTAAACAGCTGTTTTCGGTAGAATATCATTTGTTTCTTCTGAAAGTTTTACAGTGATGCAAGTTATCTTCAGAATTAGCTGAAATAATAGTTCCTTGAAGGTAACTACATCTGTCCCAAGCTCCGTATCACACCGATTCTCCAATCATACAATTTCTTTTAAGAGGACAGTTGAAATGAGGAGAGCTATTCCAAATCATAAAATCTCTTACTGAGTAGCAAATTCCTAGGAACCTTAAAATACCTTGCCGATTTATAGTTTTTTATAGTCGCCCCTCTTTGCATTGTCGTTCACTCACTACCGCAAACCTTGGCTTCCTCAAAATGGTGACCTACCCAGTTTATGAATACGAGTATAACAACAAAACTTTGTGGGGAATCCATAGCAAGTCCGCTAGATACACTTGGGCTGGATTCTACCTATTTGTCGTGCTATCCTCCATAATAGGGGATATGACTATTCTGATAGCATCCATCAAGTACAGGGCCTTTAGACTTCACAAAGTTGTCGTCATCATCATCGAGCACATTGCAGTGAGCGATATTTTAGTTTCTATCACTATGGTGGTCCCCATGATGATCTCTCTTGTTGCTGGTGATTGGGTCCTTGGAGAGACTCTCTGCTACATTTCCGCCTACTTGAGTCACATCTGTTACACTGTATCTGGCCTTCTTATTTGCACCATGGCTGTGAGTAAGCTGGCGATCCTCAAGTCTCCACTACGAATAACAACAAGGAAAACAGTCCATATGGTTTGTGCTGGCTGCTGGTTGACCATTTTGAGCACGACCCTAATCTTCATAAGCATGATAGATAAGAGTGACGTATACTTCTCATATAGAAGCTACCTATGTGCCTTTGGTTACTCAGCTGACATATGGCAGTGGTTAAGACCTCTCATAATGACATTAGTTCACTTCATCCCAACATGTCTCGTGGTAGGCTCCACCATCAACCTCATGCTCATTGCTAAACGAGTGGTGAAGCGGAGCCGAGGCAGTCTCAAGTGGCAAGGAATCATCACAACAGTTCTGACAGCAACTGTTTCCTGTGTTTCCACGATACCTTATGTGGTGTATCGAGTCAGTCAAGCTCTTGTCCAGACGGAAAACAAAAGTCAGAGCTTTTTCCACAACACCTTTTTTAGGCTGGGTATTTCTTTCCTCTTTCTTAACACCATCAGTAATTTTTACATCTATAGTCTGACAGTGAAAAGCTTCCGAAAGTTTCTCCGTTTGAAGGTCCAGGTGCTAAACTACCTCATTCCCGGCACTACAACTGAAATGATACCAGGTATTTGATGCACGGGGCTGCTTTTCTTTGCTATTTTGTCTCCCCATGTGGTCGTGTCACATGGGCAGCTCTTCATTTTAATAATATAAAATTCGTTATTCAAAGGACTGTTTCACATTTTTTATATGATCACTAAAAAACAAGGTTTTTATGGAGAAAGTAATAATTAAAGAAACTCTTAATATTTGCAGGAGGAAGAACTGGGGCAGAAATATAGAAAAAGTAAAGCAGGAAATTGAAAGAAAGAGGCAGGAAAATGACAGAACGAACCAGTTAAATGAACAATGACTGCTTAAACGGCAGAATGGATGAACTATTTACTTTATTGTTTGTTGGATGTATAAATTTAAATGTTGTGAATTAAAAAGAATACTGATCAAAATAATTTTTGATAGGTTTAATTGTCTTTCTTATCAAATCTTTCACGTTTCGACATAAATAACAAAACTGATATGGTTTGTGATTTTTTGGTTTCAGTTTTTGATGATTTTATTTTCATTTCATTATAAGTAGTGCATTCAATATATTATATACAAGTGTGAAGGATTAAATGTAGGCATTCCGCAATGCTATCACTTTCTCAGTTATATGATCGATGATTGTCCTTGATTGATGTTTTTCTCCCTTGAATTAAAACCATGAGATGAGAGATTGGCAGAGCTTCAGTTGTTTTTTGAACGGTCTTCATATCCTACTGATATGGTGAGAGAGGTCATCAGTGATGTCAGATCGATACCAAGAACTTTACAGTACAAGGCAAAGGATCAGGGTCCCCCTTCTTTCACACCATGGATTGTTACATTCGGTGCGGGCTATGAGGAAACCAAGGAAAAGGCTAAAGAGGCCAGTAACATCATCTCAAATAGCCGTACATGGAGCAGTGAGAACCCTGAGAGGATCCCTAAACTCCAAGTGGTGACCAGGCGAGCCCCTAACTTAAAGGACACTTTATTCAAGAGAAAGAAGCTTGCCTTAGGTTCAGAGTCAAGAACAACTGACCCATGCACCAAACCTGGTGAGAAGAAGAAAGGCAGACCCTGCCAAACTTGTCACCTTGTTAGTGGCAATTCCATGGTCTCCAATAATGGACACTCAGTCAGAACTCAAGGTGGTAACTGTAAGACACGCAACATTGTGTACGGCGCGACATGCAAACTTTGTACTGTTAATAACGTATACGTGGGAAAAACAGTCACCAGCCTCAGCCAACGTGTGAATGGTCATCGCAGTAAATATTATGAGATTTTAGAGGCGAGTAGTAAGGGGAATGTTGAGAGCCACAGAGATTTTGATGACGAGAATGTTTTAGGGGCACATCTTTTTTCAGTTCATAATTTGAGGGATAGATCTGTTTTCAATGAAAGTTTCCATTTTGATATTTTGTGTTCTACATCCCCAGATAATATTAGAAAGTCAGAACAGTTTTATATTAACAAATTGAAGACACTTTATCCGTTTGGCCTGAACAATGTGAATTCCGTTTCTGGAAGCTAATTTTTCATGGTGTCCCGAATTTTATTTTTAAATCGTCCATTTTTTGTTTATATATGCAGTCTATCAATTTTTGAATTGCGTCTTTTTGATTAAATGAACTACTGCAGACTCCACATTATTATAGTATATGCGATTAATTTTGTTCCGATTTTAAACTATTCCATTTTTACGAGATGCTAAATTAATTTTTTGAGACATTACTACATTTTTGATGAGAATTTTTGACATTTTCAAACTAACCATTGATATTCTCAGATTATGTGACTGATTAAATGCTGAGGATAAAAGAAATATATTCATTTTGCTAAGATTATGTTTGCGTTTCATTGCTCAACAGCTGTTCGAAGGATCAAATATAAGAATTAAAACCATGTCTTTCTTAATTTTTTATAGTTTTATCATGAATTATATTCTCATCTAATAAAAATATTTTAATGAAATCGAAATAAGCTCATAATTAGCATAACGATCTACAAATTACAACTCACTTTGTATAAAAAACGAGAAACAAGTCCATGCCATGTTTTGTATTCCAATAACTTGTCACTGGTCTTATTCACCGTCTTCCAGTATCTCATATCACCTGTGAAAATAAGATGGAATCTACAAGATCTAAAAAACATAAATAAAGCTCATCAGATTTCTTTTTAGGTAAACTTGAAATTAATAGATTAACACAAGTTAATATATTATTAACTGACCAGAAGCTGCGCTGAGAGCGCGGAACTCCAGACCTAACGTGCCAACCTCTGATATTTCTGCTTTACAGTAATAATACTTGCAAGCCTCTGAGTTGCTACAGTCTTCGAAAAGACACTCTTTAGCCTGGTCGGTGTTACAGGTCCCCTCTGAGAGAGACAGTCCTATGTGGGGGATTTCAGAGTCTTTGAAACAATGCATGCTGATGTTGCCGATTTCCTGATTGAGGCCGTATGTTATAGTACAACTTTAACGCTGGATTTTATTGAAAACTTCATTGTTAACCGATGCTCTTGGTTATTTTATTGGTACTACTTTATCTGAGCTCCTTTTTCAGAAAATAAAGATCTTACCTATTCATTACAAAATTACAACACTCAGGATCTTACCATGGCCTTGTCAAGATAGAGTTTATCTCCAGTGAGGTGATAAGTGGAGATGAGAGAGCCAATCAGTCGGATCGTTACTTCAAACAGACTTATCTTGCCATAACTCTTCTTTGGGTCAAATGACTTCTCTATCCAGGCCTTAAAATGGTAGGGATAAATTACCTTCAAATGTTCACCTCTGAATTTTGTTGATATTTAACCACTGGATTTCCAAAAGTAATGAAAAGCTATCTAATCAAGACAAGAACGCATTGATTAAACTTTGTTAATGCTCACTGCTAGCAACATGAAAGAGTTAAAGTCAAGCTAATCCAAAACATCCAAGCAACTCACCCTGGAAACAGCTAGCTCTTCTTTAAACCCAAGAAGGTGAAGTGAAGTCAGGCTGTCAATAAGAGTGGCACCAAGACCAAATAGGCTGTCATCGTATCCTCTGCTTTCAGGCTTCAAATGGTCATGTCCCCAGGCAAAACTGAGAGATAATAAATGTTAAGATTGCTACCAAAAATTGAAAGAAATATAGATATTTCGTCTATGATAATAAAAACTATATTTCTCTCCTCAAACAAATTTTCTAACTTCTTAACTTTTATCCAATAATAGCAAAAAGAAGTTATACTTATGAGGACAAACTTGTGGTAATTGGTCCATGCAAATAGGAAGGCTTCTTTCACACATTTCTTCCGATCGCTGTTTGAACATGTATGGTAAAATCTTTTGCAATCGATTTCAACCTGAATAGAAAATTAATATCTAAGAGTTCCGAATACGACAGAAATGATAGTATAATTTATTCTTTTTTGTGAGATATTTTTGTAGCCACCAAAGTAATCGTACAAAAAAACATAATTATACAAAATAAGATGGTACTTCTTGAGCTTATCAATTTACATACCTGATATTCACTGATAGCTTTAATAATTTCACTCACCATACAGGGAGATAGTTTGCTTGTAAGGGGAGTGTAATATTCTTTGACAGATGTGATAGGTCTTTGTGTCCAAGTGACAACATAAATGAGCAGTATAATTAATAATACTGCATATAGCGTGTTTCTTTTTTTCTGAGTCAAACCATACAGCCTTAGTTGTTTTAGCATATAATAGTTGCCTTATGTTCTCACACAATTGCCATGCTATGTAATCATGATTTTGTTATATTATATAGGGATATAACATACAGTCGATACAAAAGACATCAAATTCTCACATGTTTATTTAATTGTACACGGTAGTTTAAAGCAATGGTACAATATAGAGTATTTATGACAAATGATCATAAGCGTGAAAGCACAAAAGTCTATTAACGATCCATCAACAAGAAAAGCAGTCGCATTCCGCATTAAATGCAGTCGCATTCCGCTTTAAACAGAACCCCTAATGTCTGTTAACAATTTTTCTTTTAGTCCTAATGTGAGCCTTGTCTCTAAAAACTTGACTGAACTAGCGTTTCGGTGTATGCAAAAGCTTCCAGGCACGCGCATTCCTTGCCCCGTAAGTTACCTGTCCTTCCGAAACCAAACAAGCAGTCAAGGACAAAAAGTCATACACCAAAATGTGCATTATATTTTATGAATTGTTTTACATCTTTTTATTCTGTAAAATGTGCTAAAATTAAATTTCTTGTTTCATTGAAATTTCTTGTTTCATTGATTATTCTCTCTATTTATAACAGAACTTATAAAGAATTTAGAACAGCGATTCATCCTGGAAGTATATTAAATAACCAAAATTAAAGCTTTGCCTCAAAATTCAAAAATTACTGCGCCTTCAGTAGAATTAGAATTAGAATTAGAATTAGAATCAAATTTACACAGCAATACAATAAGAATAAAAAATAATTTAAGAAGCTTCAATCTGCTGTGCAGGACATTCAAGTCAGTCGAAAAATGTTAGCAGAACACCCTTAGGGACATAAGGATATAGTATGTAAAACATAATGAGTAATAAATTAATGAGTGATAAAATAAGATATGATTTAACAGTGAACTGTGGGCATGAAGGTAACAATTAAGATTACATAGATGCCCACTTTGGGATTACATTAGTAATGTTATTTACAGTTATATACAGAGAAGTATAGAACAATAATAGATTGGCAATGATAACAAATGGGAACGAGTAAAGGAGATGTTTAAAGTTCTATACTTCTGGAAATAGGTCATGTATAATACAGGGGGCCTTTCCACCCGACAAAAACTCCAGCACCATAAAATTTGTTTCAGTTGTCACATAGCTAGAGTGTAGAAATAGTCGAAACTATTGTTTATTTCATAGGATGAGACTCCTTGAATTACATCTGACATAAATTTAGATTTCATACATTGTGAGAATTTTACACTACATTCTATAGTCCTTATGTTCTCTGGAATTGTATTCCAACATTTTGCACCTAAATATGTAAAGGTTTTGTGTGTTCTGGATTTGTGAATATAAAGGTTGCACCTCTCAGCATCACGTGATCCTCCGGATACATAAGAAAATTTATCTGTGAATGATGATGGTGCAGCCTCATTAAGAATTTTATACATATACGTTGATAGATGGAGTTGTCTTCTTAAGTGTAAGGGTAACCACTTCATATTTCGATATACATTTACTGATGGTTCCTGCCAATGAACATCCAGAGCAATTTTTGCTACTTTCTTGTATAATATATCAAGAGAATTAAGTTTGGTTTTGGCAGCCCTACACCATATTATATCCAGGTAGTCAAATTGGGGGAGCATAAGAGCATTTACAAACATTTTTCTATATTTCAGTGGAAGAAGATTTTTCGACCTGTATAATGCCCCTATTCTTTTAGCAATTTTTGATTTCAAATAATCAATATGGTCTTGAAAGTTCAATAAATTGTCTATCATGAGACCTAAATATTTTTGAGATTTAGTTTCTTCTATAAATAGGCATTCTTTTTCCAAATCCAGAGGGATTGACAACGTGTCCAGATTAGGTGATCTATCAAATACAATGAATGAAGATTTTGCAGCATTTAGCCTCAGCTTGTTGATTCTAAGCCATTCATACACAATTTTCATATCCTTAATTACATTCTCATATATGCCTCGGGAAATGTTATCAAAATATAGTGCACTGTCATCTGCAAATAAGTAAACAGTAGATTGTGTGCAATTTCTACTGAGATCATTTATGAATAAACTAAATAGAATTGGTCCTAATATGCTACCCTGTGGCACACCTGTTTTAACAGGGAGTGATGTGCTTACATTACCACGTATTTTGGTGTGCTGCTTTCTGTCCCCAAGGTAGCTTTTGAACCACTTTATGACAAAGCCATCAACTCCATAATACTTAAGTTTTTTTAATAAAATATTATGGCTTACTGTGTCAAAGGCCTTTTTAATATCTAAGAATACAATTGCAGGTTTCTTCTGTGATTCCTTAGACGTAAATATTTTATCAAATAGATTAAGCATTAGAAAAGTGGTGGAATGATCTTTTCTAAATCCATACTGATGGTTGGTAAGCAGTTTATTGGTTTCAACATACTCTGTAAGCTGTTGGTTAACAAAATATTCTATGCATTTTCCAAGTAGGGGGAGTATGGATATTGGCCGGTAGTTATTTGGATCATTAGGGTCACCAGTTTTAAGAATTGGAGTGACTGATGCAATTTTACATGCCAATGGCATTGTTCCACTTTTCAGTATTGCAGTAACTTTTTTTAAACTTCATGAATCGATATCAAATCTTTTGCAATGTATTTAAAATCAGTATATGCCCTTATATAAATCACTCAGAATGCTTTTGAAACAGATCAACATACTCAAAAACACTATTATCTTATTTCTCCGTAAAAAGCATAAGTAGCTTTTGTTGAGGCGCATACTTTGATGCAGTGATCTTAAACGATTCCTCTTCAATTTTGGTCGTAACACGTCAACTTATTAATGCAAAATAAAGCAGGTTATATAAACTATTTCATACGTATGAAATTGAATGTGCTGTCGTTGGTGTGCGCCGGATCAGTCCATTAACAATTTGTAAGGCACAGAGTTGGACTTGCTGTTGATTGACGATGTCAACCCTTTGAAATCTTGATAGTTTGCATTACATTGCGTGGTGCATCGAAGCGGCGACGTCCTCCAATTAATAATAACCCTGACTATTTTCACACCCCAGGCCCAGCTCTGTGACAACTATTAGGTGTTTTGGAGTTTAAAAAACATAACAGGGTCTTTTTGTATATTTCTGACCAAAATCTTGGACCTCATTTTTTGACGATTTTTCCAGGTCCAAGATTTTCAAAATCGAATAAGTAAAATACAATTTAAAAAAAAGAAAGTAAATACAATGTTTTTCCACGGGACCTGCAAAAGCAGCTGATAGATATCACTCCATTCTATCAGAAACAACTATAAAATCAATTTCTAGAGAATTTTGATGAAGACCCCCCCCCCCCCCCCCCCCCCCCTTAATTAAGTTATAATCTTATTTTATAACTAAATCAAAAGAAGTATACAACTATAGGTCTTTCTAACTCCAAAAATGGGTGTGTAGTTTTAGAAATTTTCACTCTGTATATAACTGTTAACTAGACTGCATGTAATTCTGAAAAAAAAGTCAATGTGGATAATTTTCGTAACATATTAATGGTAACCTTCATGCCCACAGATTACCAAGACCAAATAGGCTGTCATCGTATCCTCTGCTTTCAGGCTTCAAATGGTCATGTCCCCAGGCAAAACTGAGAGATAATAAATGTTAAGATTGCTACCAAAAATTGAAAGAAATATAGATATTTCGTCTATGATAATAAAAACTATATTTCTCTCCTCAAACAAATTTTCTAACTTCTTAACTTTTATCCAATAATAGCAAAAAGAAGTTATACTTATGAGGACAAACTTGTGGTAATTGGTCCATGCAAATAGGAAGGCTTCTTTCACACATTTCTTCCAATCGCTGTTTGAACATGTATGGTAAAATCTTTTGCAATCGATTTCAACCTGAATAGAAAATTAATATCTAAGAGTTCCGAATACGACAGAAATGATAGTATAATTTATTCTTTTTTGTGAGATATTTTTGTAGCCACCAAAGTAATCGTACAAAAAAACATAATTATACAAAATAAGATGGTACTTCTTGAGCTTATCAATTTACATACCTGATATTCACTGATAGCTTTAATAATTTCACTCACCATACAGGGAGATAGTTTGCTTGTAAGGGGAGTGTAATATTCTTTGACAGATGTGATAGGTCTTTGTGTCCAAGTGACAACATAAATGAGCAGTATAATTAATAATACTGCATATAGCGTGTTTCTATTTTTCTGAGTCAAACCATACAGCCTTAGTTGTTTTAGCATATAATAGTTGCCTTATGTTCTCACACAATTGCCATGCTATGTAATCATGATTTTGTTATATTATATAGGGATATAACATACAGTCGATACAAAAGACATCAAATTCTCACATGTTTATTTAATTGTACACGGTAGTTTAAATAAAAGCAATGGTACAATATAGAGTATTTATGACAAATGATCATAAGCGTGAAAGCACAAAAGTCTATTAACGATCCATCAACAAGAAAAGCAGTCGCATTCCGCATTAAATGCAGTCGCATTCCGCTTTAAACAGAACCCCTAATGTCTGTTAACAATTTTTCTTTTAGTCCTAATGTGAGCCTTGTCTCTAAAAACTTGACTGAACTAGCGTTTCGGTGTATGCAAAAGCTTCCAGGCACGCGCATTCCTTGCCCCGTAAGTTACCTGTCCTTCCGAAACCAAACAAGCAGTCAAGGACAAAAAGTCATACACCAAAATGTGCATTATATTTTATGAATTGTTTTACATCTTTTTATTCTGTAAAATGTGCTAAAATTAAATTTCTTGTTTCATTGAAATTTCTTGTTTCATTGATTATTCTCTCTATTTATAACAGAACTTATAAAGAATTTAGAACAGCGATTCATCCTGGAAGTATATTAAATAACCAAAATTAAAGCTTTGCCTCAAAATTCAAAAATTACTGCGCCTTCAGTAGAATTAGAATTAGAATTAGAATTAGAATCAAATTTACACAGCAATACAATAAGAATAAAAAATAATTTAAGAAGCTTCAATCTGCTGTGCAGGACATTCAAGTCAGTCGAAAAATGTTAGCA